TTATTGTCAGTCAAGAGCACATACCTGGGTTGCAGGCTGGATCCCTTGCCCTGGTCAGTGCACATGTTAGAGGCAACCAATCGATGTGTCTCTCTCACATTGATGTTTCTCTCTCCCCACCCTCACTCCCTTTTACTCTCTCTAAAAATCAACGGAAAATTATCCTCCGGTAAGGATTAAAAAGAAAGATGGCTCAATCTTTCCTATTCTATTAGTCTCCGTGGAGCCACTACTGTACTTATGTTACTTGGAGTGTAAAAATCAAGCAGGAAATTGGCTTGGTGAGAAAGAGGACTTGATGTACAGGGTCAACCCATGTGACTTCTTCAGATCACTTTGAGCAAACAACCCTTAATGCAATAAAAATGGCATCTTTGAGGAAAAGCAGTTTATCTTGTCTGATAAGGCTGCCTTTACTCAATACATTAATGTTGCTCTGATAACACATTTTAAGCAGTGTTTTTAATTTAAAAGAGAAAGTCCCAAGAGGGGATGTAGGCTGAAAAATAGGTCATGGTACTACTTGAAAACATGCAATTGAGGGACATTTAAAAAATCCTCTCAACAGTGCAGTAAGATTCACTGTAAAGGGGAAATTGGGTCCAAGTGTAATGAGAGGCAAGATTCAGTCTTTTTTCAGTTTGATTTAGGAGACCAATTGTTTAGGAAGTTAAGTGGTATCTCCAACAAATTTCTTGGAAAGAAGGCAGTGAATATGCAAGGAGCTGAAATTTAAATCAGGTCAGGGTAGAATGTTACTTTTTTAAATTTATTCATTTTTGTGCAATTTATTTATTTTTATTTTCTTAATTTTATTTTATTGTTTAAAGTATTACAAATAGTACACATGTGTCTCCTTTTTCCCCCCATTGACCTTGCCCTGGCCTCCCCACCCCCCAGCACATACTTACTTACTTTTAAAACAACAGCACACCTGTAATACCTTGGGCAGGCTTTGGAAAACCTAGCAGCACTTGTATAACCTACCTTCTCAGGCTAGATTTATAAAGATTATTGGGATGAAGATGGAGAGAAAGAAATTGGATTATTTATGAAATTACTTTAAAATTTTGATAAATTATTCCAGTTAACCAAGTGATTGGCTTATAGGCTTAAGTTCAATCAGTGACGCTCCAAGGCCAGATGAGTCAGAAATGGCTAAGTTCTCTCCTTCACAATGACCGGTGCTGTGGAAAAATGTAATCCCTTTTGCAAAGAAGTCTGTCTTTACAAGAAGTTTAGGAAATTTTTTTTCCCCTTCGTTTTCTTAAATATCTCCTTGGAGGCTTCTGAGATGCCTTATTCAGTGGTTCCCACACTTGCTGCCCATTGGAATCATTTGAGCATCTTTAAAAACTACTGATGCCTGGTTGATTCCCACCTGCAGATCATGTAATTTAGTTGGTATGGGCTGCAACCCAGACATAGGGAGTGTTCTTAATAATAATATTTTTATATTGAAATGATTATGGATTCTCATGCTGATATAAGAAATAATACAGAGATATGCCTTATACCCTTGAGCTAGCTTCCACTTATGGTAACATTTCCCAAAACTCTAATATAATATCACAACCAAGATATTGACACTGATACAGTCAAGATCAAGAACATTTCCATCACCACAAGGATCCCTCCCTCATGTTGCCATTTTATAATCACTTTCCCACCCACTCCAACACCCTCAATAACTTCTGGCAACCACTCATGTGTTCTCATTTTTATATTTTTGTCATTTCAAGAATATTATAAAAATGGAGCCATCAAGTATGTAACTTTTAGGGATCAGCTTTTTTCACTCAGCATAATGCTTTGGAGATTCACCCAGGTTGTTGCATCTGTCAATAGAACTTCCTTTTTATTATTGAGTAATAGTATGGCTATGCCACAGTTTGTTTAACCATCTCTATTGTATTCAGGTTTTTGCTATTAGGTATGTGTGAATATACCTTGTCATTTGTCTGGAATAAACAGCCAGGAGTAGAATTATTGGGTTGTATGGTAGGTGCATGTTTAGTTAATAAAAATGCTGAATGATTCTTCAGAGTGGCTTGTGAAAGTAAAAGCAAAATGGAGTTGATATTGTCAAGAGAGCAATCTAAAACGGAGCCAAATCTTAACTGGGCTAAACCACAAACAGATACCTCAGATACAGCTTCTGGAACCGGCTCTGAATCACTGTCCTCTCTATTAAGAAATTTAATTTTCAGAGGCAGGGTGGGGTGGAGCTGCATAGGTTGCTGTGAAGGAGTTTCTGGTGGAGATTCTTGGCATTGGGTGAACCATATCAGGAGCCCACATGGGCCAATGGCACCATGGAAGCTGGGGCCAGAGAGACATCTTTTCTGGTTCATTGGCCAAGGGAAGGGTGGAAACCACACCCCCAAAGGTGGAAAGACTGTCTCCTAGTCGGACAGAGGATTCCTGGGGCATGTTTCATTGCTTTCAAAGTTACTTTGAAAAAGAGTTTTAAAGACAGACTTGGTCCTGGAGAAAGTTTTTGCCCCTTTAGATATTTTCAACAAAATCCAAGAACAGAATGAAGAACTTGGACTGATTACTGAATTAACATATACTTATCGCTATTGCAAACCAGAGCTACACTGGGAGGCCTCCTCAGAAGCCCCTTTGAACTGGCACCTAGGTCCTAAGGGTGTTCAATGCCTCCCGCACATGTGTGTCTATTGCTCTGGCCAGTGTGAATGGAGACATCCAACAGATTTTTCCTTTGGCTTCAGTTGATGGCAGTGTTTAGACATAGCAGCAAATGGGGATCATGCAGGAGCCCTGGCTAGCCCTTCAAGTTAATATTTAGGCTTCTCCAGATGTTTGATCTCGTGCAACACTAACCTCTGGATGCTGTGCTCTGAAAGCCAGGTTGGGCACCTACAAATAATGAAGACAGAACTGAGACAGGCCTCAAATTGAGGCTTTACTCCACCACAGGCAATGTGACCTCAGCCCATTGCTGAACCTCACGAGTAAAGTGACACAGGGATACTGGCCTTAGATGTTGTGGAGATTAACTGAAGTGGTGTATTAGTGGGCCTGGGCATTAGGGGTTGAGTAAATGATAATTTATATCCCACACCCTGTCCTGAGTGGGCCTCTTACTGCATAGGTTCACTGGGCTAGGCCCCTATTATCAGCTGCCCCCAGGATTACTCTAAGCCCTTGCCACTCACCAGGTAGATTCCCCTGACTTGTACTCACTTTCCCCAGCTACAATTATATATGTACTAGAGGCCAATGCATGAAATTCGTGCAAGAATAGGCCTTCCTTCCCCCGGCTGCTGGCACCAGCTTTCCTCTAGCACCCGGGACCCAGGTTTCCATCCAGTCACCAGCAGGCACCCGGGACCGGCCTGGCTTCCCTTGGGCCGCCCGCAGGCACCTGAGACCCAGGCAGGCTTCCCTCCAACCCCGGCATCTTCAGGAAGGACGTCCGGAATGATGTCCAGAAGATGTCCAGCCTAATTAGCAAATTACCCTTTTATTATTGTAGATAAGGCACTCAAACCTTTACAAAATGTGTCCTGAATCCTTTTTCTAAAATACTTATCATGAGACATAAGTCCAACTTCCACGAGAGACTTTTGATATTTCTCCTGATCAACCTAGACTCAGCTTCTGCCCTCTTCAACTCTGTTCAAAGTTTCCTCTTTTAACTGTAACTGCACATCCTGCTTTTTGCTTCTGCCATCCCCAACCTCCTGCTCCATTTTATAACCACATAACTTCTCTCCCCTTTTGGCCTTAATGGCCATGGCCTAAGTTCCTTGCTACTCCTCATTCGCCATCCAACTTCCAATTCTTTCCTTTTTATGCAGCCTTTGATCCCACCCCCACAAAAGAAAGACCACAGTTAACAGCATCTCAAAACTCAATAGGCATCTTTATTACTCATCTACTAATTCTATTATATTTATTCATTCAATTTTATTAAGTTTTAAAATATGTTAAAATTGAGAAATATTTATCTATCTGTCTATCATTCTATCATCTATCTTTCTATTTATGGAAAACAGCTGGTACCAAAAGTGGCACCTGCACTCCCAGCATCTCCTACATCACATAGCCATAGTACAGAGAAATGTCCATTTCTTTTTCCTTCTCAATGAAATGCTGAATTTTCCCCAATTTGGCAGCATTTTCACGCTCCAGTTGAGCCTTCCTCTTCATGGCCTCTCGATCTGGCCTCTGCTCATTTGTGATGGGTGTTGACATTATTGGCCCAAGAACCTCAGGTTTCCTCCATGGAATTGGTTGGAGGGTGAAATCCTGGAGTAGATAGTAGTTGTGAGGCTTGAGCAGAGTCCGGGGCTGGCTCACAGCCGAGTGAACAGGCTCCCGCTTCAAGGAAGCACAAGATGTTTTGTAGGGCCCAGGCCTAGAAGCAGGAGGCTGAGGGACACTAGGCCGGGTAGGGTTGTTCGAACCTGGTTCGGCTGGGTTCGTCGACATTAGCAGGGATGCATTGACTGCAGCAGGCTTGGCAGGGTTGGCCACAGCAGGCCGACGGGATGCCAGAGACTGTGGCCTGCGAGGAACAGGTCGAGCTTGAGGCTTGTCCATGGTTGGAAAAACCAATGGCACCAACTTGACCTTCCCGGGAGATGGCAGCTTGTCCGGGGATGGAGGTGGAGACCCTTTGTCAGCACTTCCATGTGGTTTTGGGGGTTGGACTTGAGTTTTCACAGGACCTTTGCCCTCACGGGGCATAACCAGCCATGGTTTGGTAGCTGGGCGTGGCTGGGGGCCTTTGGGGTTGCTTGAGTTTCCCAGGGCCCGCGAGGAAGACAGGTCAGCTTTCTCAGCACTCTTCTTGCCCAGTGCATGGAAAACCTGCACAGACTCCAGCATGTGCACACCGAAGCCGCTGCGCGGCTTTTTGATGGCTTCTTGTGGCAGCTCAGGGTGACTTTTCTTCCTCTTCATCTTGGGAATGGCTGGCTTCTCCTCTGCCTTGACTTTGTTCCCTGACTGCTTCCTCTCCTCAGCTCTCTTGGAGTAGTTTTCTTGGTTTGTTTTGGTGTTTTCCTGCCCATGGCTCTTAGTATTGCTGGTCCTGCTGGCTGCAGCTTTCTGAGGTTTGCTGTTAGAATGCTTGGCCATGTTCGAAGGAGCCCTGCCACCAGCTGCAGCATTGCAAGGAACCACTTCTTCCACAAACACACAATCTGGGCTCTCGGGCTTGATCTTGGTCTTGGGAGCATCACTCATAGGCTCAGAGGCTTTATGTTTGATCTTGCTGCCTTGATCAGAGCGAGTCTTTCTGACACTTGACTTTTTCTGCACTTCGTGCAACTTGAGGCCCCTGGTGTCTTTGGTTTTGATCACCTTGGGTCCTTGGGCCTGATCAAGGTCATCCAAGGAACTTAAGACCTGTGGAAGGTGAATACCCTTCACCAGTGTGTCGATGTCTGCAAAACTGTCATTAGATTCAGTCCCATTTTCAAGTGTCCCTTGGTCCTTAAGACTCAGGCTATTCCTTCCCAAGCCAGAGTTGTCACAACCAGGCTGCTCCTCTTGGCCAAGGAGATCAATGCAGACCAGCACCTGTGGAATGTCAGGCACTTCTAAAGGGAGTAGTGGAGAAATGAGAAATTCTCTTAGTTGTGACCTACTCATCTATAAAATCACAATAATAATGTTATAACAGTGATAATTAATGAATTAGTGATATGTTACGTATGACTTATAAAACAGATATAAGTTCTGGAAAGACAGAGAAAAATCATATACAACAGGAATACAAAGACATATATAGATATTAGTACAAATTTGGGCACATAGCAAGCATCAAAGTCTAATAAATTTACTAAGAAAATAAGTTCTGTTTTATACACATGATATCATAAAAGTAAATATTGCCTATTCTAATTTAGTGAATACTGTTAACCAGGAAACAACCCAAAATAGGTGATTTTGAATAAGTTCCTTGCCAGTACATATGGACAGAGAAGATATATCAGTAAAAATTGCATAACAGGCAGAACAATGCAATCAGTGTACATGGATATGTGCTCCAATAAGTATATATGTTGACCAATATTTCAGTAAGAACTGGTTTAAAATAGAGAGTCAAGTAAGTGTAAAGGTATTCCATTATTGTGCTCATTCATGTTTCTCTGAATACTCCCCAGCAAGTAATAGATACTTAGTATATTAGAAATATATATTCCAACTAGAGGCCCGGTGCACAAAAATTTGTGATTTCAGTAACTGGTTTAAAATAGAGAGTCAAGTAAGTGTAAAGGTATTCCATTATTGTGCTCATTCATGTTTCTCTGAATACTCCCCAGCAGCAAATAGATACTTAGTATATTAGAAATATATATTCCAACTAGAGGCCCGGTGCACC